TCGCTCGCCAATCCGACTGCTCGCTCGCTAACTGCCCGCTCGTTCAGTCAACTACCAACGTGGTTGCAGACTTGTTCACTCTCGCCTGCACACTCGCCAACGTCCATTTCGTCTACCCAATCACCAAGGTGGCTATGTAACCTAACCTTGCCGACCGGAAATCAAACCCGGATTCGCGTCATGGAAAGTGAGCACGATGACCAATTAGCTAAACCTCGAGGGCCCTCTTTGAGCAATACCACTCAACTTAACATGGATGCACGATATGCATCTTAGCTTTAGGTTTACGGCTAACACGTAGTGATCAGAGAAGCAGTTTAATATTTCGTTGGTATAGAATGTTCTACAATTTCATTTTAATATCTCATCTGCAACATGTAACTTCCGAAATTTTAGTGATGCTTCCTAAGTTTGAAAACATGCTACACTGTGGGCCATACGATTTTTTTTAAAAATAAAATCCCTTTATACTTTCGAAGATGTAAAGGAACATTGAATGTTTATTAAACAATATGTACATTTACAATGGCAGAAATATACAAGTAGAATACATCATTACCCTTTTTAGAGGCAATATTAAACACATATTTGCTTGATCCATTCTTATAAATGGTATTGACAGCCATCTTGTTCTTCAGGCAAGTGTTGTCATGTGGTCTGGTGAAGATGGCCCTCTCAGTCTCTGTCAGTAAGGCGGAATGTCATGGGCGATTTCAGTATGTGCAGCAGCCGGGTCTGGAACTCTCCCTTGCAAGGATATTCCACTTTGAAGTTCCGCAGGAGCTGTGAATATCAATATAATAAGGATTCAATGGAAAATGCTCACCGACATATTATTATAAAATTTTACTTCAATATTAGTGATACCGCTTGTAATGCAAAAACGGCTAAAAATTAAAACACGCTTTTTCAAATACAAATATGTTTCGGATAAATATCTACTCTTTCGTTTCTTACCAACACATTCAAACCAATATGCAAACTTTTGTTTTCTATTTCTAGATTAACAATAAAATCAATTTTCAGGTTTGTTTGAGGGCAAAACAGATAATTCATGGATAAGAGAGAAAATTGTGAAACAATTTTGAGAAGATTCGTTTATACAATACCACATTAAAGCACAAATTTTGAGGAAATCATTATTATTTCTTAAATTTATTAAAACTTCATCATTCAATTATTATTAAAATGTATTTGAAGTACTGTCAACCAGTGTTGATTATTTGCGACCCTTTTGGATGCATAAGTATGTATGTACTTGGCACGACAGCCTGTGAACGGGCTCAGGCCTACCGACGACGTCCCTGCTTCGCGGCCATGGGTTAAGGGGGTACGTGTGGTTAGCACGTAGACATCCCCACGCCGTATTTAGGTCTTCTCAATCTGAGAAGTGAATTTCGTCATTGTCACACAGCAACATACACTGTGGCGTTGCAAGGAAAACGCACACTACAGTCTTGGCACGATGGAAATCGACCCGGGCGGCATAGGGAAAACCCCATTTTGATATAAACGTTTACAAATTTAGCAGATCATCTAATCATTCTTCACATCATAATTACAAAGTAGTGGTGCTACAACAGTCCGTATTTTCTCGCGTTATTTTTAATTTTTAAAAGTTTTGCAAACTCCCACTCTGCAACGAACAGATCTGCACTATTTTAAGCGCCCTACGTTCTTTCCGAAGAAAAATAAAATATTTTTGTTTATTAATATAAATATTTTTATTATTTTAATTATTATTAAAGCCTTTTTTAAATCATATTTTTTAATTGCATTTATTTCATTCAAAATTACGCAAAATTACTTTTATTTTTGTACAAAAAATAAATTAAAAAAAACAAATTGTAGATTTCATTTAATGATTTAATTTTGAAGAACATATACTGTTAAGGAAAAAAACTTATCTTCAGAATTATGATTATAGAAAGATGGCAGAAAACCTTTTGCAAATTTCGTAAAATTCAAAGAATTTAACGAAATTAGAACTGTGCCAATATTTTAAGATACCCTGTAAACTATCCGAAAAAATGTTTAATGAAAAAATTTGGGACCATTCTTGACAAAATTTTGAAAATGTTGGGTTGTCATGTAAACTATCCTATTCAAGCCTTGGTAGTTTGTAATATTTCTTGTGAGCCACCTGTGTTAATGAGGGGTGGAGCGTGTTCTTACACGACTACCGTCCGGAATGTAGCATGCACTCCACTTACAGAACTAAGAAGTTGATCCGTCTACTAAATACTACTGGGGTGCATTAGAAGAATGAGTGTAGGTGTCGCAGAATAAGTGTTAGAAACTTCTAGGGCAAGTAGACGTCGAAAATAATATTTTTAGTAAATAATTTAAGAGACGTATCATTCAACGGAGATACATGTGTGGCGTTTTCCCGTGATTGTAAGGAATGCCTTATTCCGGCGTGTGGCTGAAAGCTCCATTCCTTGTGAGTGGCCCTTGTGAGTGTGTGGTGGGTGTACCTTTGCGTTGAGGACCTCGATCTCCAGCTCCGCGAAGCGCTTGCCGATGCAGATGCGCGGGCCGAAGCCGAAGGGCAGCGTGGCGAAGGGGTGGCCCTTGGCGTGCGGGTCGTCGCCCTTGAGCCAGCGCTCGGGCATGAAGCGCTCCGCGTGCGGCACGAAGCGCGGGTCGTTGCCCGACACCGCCAGCATCATCACGATGTCCACCTGCGCACCGCCACCATCGCCTGTCATTTATTTCGTCGAGAACTGACTAGTACGTTGCGAACCGGTGATGTAGTGGTGGGTATTAATACACGAGTGTGAAGTGATATTACGATACAAGCGAGGATAGCGAGTACCGTAAACTTCACACGAGTGTATTAATACCTATTACATAAAGTTGCATACGGTACGTTTTCTACCACTTATGGTTACTTTTATAAGTTAAACTTTTTCATTAAATCGTTTCTTAGCGGTTGACATACCGGATTCAGCCAAGGCCACTTAGCAAACGTCTCCCTCTCTACCCTACCGCAGGCGGCTTTGGTTTACTACCCTAGTCAAGGAGGATCAAAGTTATATTACGATGCAATTATTTTAAATCATATTCCACCTACAAATTACTATTTATAAAAGAAATTACAACTGCCAAACATAATATAATATTTAAATAAAATTTTAAAGTACATAATCAAGCGAAAAATTTACTAGAACGATTCTCAATGGTTTAATTAAGAGTCAATACTTTGGTGTGTAAACTTCTCTGTGATTGATCAAGAATCTGTATCATAATCAAACCTTAATCGTAATGAGTATTATCAGGGGTTTCAGACATTAAATGACAGAATTATGCAATAGCATTAGAACAAACTGTGTGACGTACGGGGAGAAGTAATCTGCGCGAGTTCCAGAATCATCACTCTCATGCTTATACTATACATAGTTGGATGACGAATAAGAGTACTAGCAAGCAAGGTCAACAATATTTGAAAAGTATTAATGTTTCCTCCCGTGAAATATAAAATTGGTTTGAATCTGTGCAGCTTTAATTTTGTATAATCATCAACAAAATAACAAATGAAATTTTTCGGCCCTGTTGCTACTCGAGCAAAAGAAACAAAAATAGAGTTCAATAAAACATGCGCAAGTGAAGCTAAATTGATTAATTTAACGTTCCTTGCTCACTTTTGAAATTTGTAAGATAATTTTTTCTTAAATCACTGAATTTATTTGTCCTTTTTCATTATAAATGAACTTCTTTGTATTTATTTGTCCAATTTGATCTCATTACTTACCCCTTTCGGAATATAATAATTTCGTAACACCAAACCTTCTTTAGGATTCTCTCTTAGCTGCCCAATAGCAACGGGCTTCATTCTGAAAACATAAAGTCATTATATCAGAAATATACTGACTTGTTGTAAGTACAAGGGAGTTCAAATATTTGCGGATAATGACGCAGTCATCCACAGTGTTCGGGACTGGATATGCCGACAACCAAAAGACTTTTATGAAAAGGGCATTAGGATGCTCCCAGAACGTTGGAAAAAATGTATAGAATCTGGAGAGGAGTACTTTGAAGAATGGCATGTACAAATAAATTTTTGCTAATAAAGTATTTCGTAAAAAAAATCAGTCCCGGTCATATTTGAACCCCCTTGTAATAATGACAATTATACCCCAAATTGAGGTCGCAGTGTAGCGCGCATTTGGGCAACTTTTCAAACAAAAGTAACACAAGCCACAACAGGTCCCCAGCTATTAGAAATGTTAAGAACTGGATCCAGGTGAAATAATGGTTTATTTTGTTTCTATATGACTTATTTATAAATGAATTGGAATAAGGTGACAGACATTTAAACTAAAATCGAGTTATGAACATTTAAGAATTGCGGCGACGTACTGTTACTGACGTGGCTGTTGAATTGTTGGCCAAGTTCTTTCATTCACGATCGAAAAAAACATTAAAATCTGACGTAATTACAGTTCGCGCAGAAATAATAGTACATTCACAACTTCAACGTCTTAAACTCCCTTGCTCTACAGATAGAACGCTTCTTTAGACATCGGTTGAATTCGAAACAGCTATATTACAGGTAGTGTTGAAATTATCTACCGTCGGGACTGGACTCGTAGAACATCGCCAACAGAAACGCTGTATAGTGAACAGTTGTCACCATGCGCCAAAGGCGAGCGAAGGCTAAAATAACAAAGTGGCAAGTACATTACTGGGTCGTCTTTTCCTTTTTAATTTTTTTGTTTATAAATATTTTGTATTGTGAAACCAATTACACTGCCAGATGTCTTGCTCACACTCTTACTCAAACGGCAAATAACAATTTCTGTAATTGTAAGAAAGGAAACCCGGGATTGCACATTTTATGAGGGAATGAAACGCTTAATAACGTAAGGATACAAGGCCCCTTTCACAACGTTTAGTGGAACCACGCCTCACCCCCCCCCCACCTCACTCTCATCATGTGCGCACGCGTATTGTAACGTCTCAACCGTCAAAGTTACGTTTTCTGCGAGTTCCCATCGATCGCGTCCCCTTTGTGAAATAAAGGACTATCTCCATAATACAAAAAATATACAATTTAATCGCAAGACTTTTGTCTCACACTTTCACAACTTACATCAACTTATTCAAACCCAAAAGTTATTACTGGTAATAAATATAGCGTAACATGCATCAACCCACATTCCCTGGGATCTGAGAATCTTTGAACTCTCTCTCTCTCTCCAGGACCTTGCGAAGCATTCTGCTTGTTGATTTAGCCTTCTATCCCACAACGCCGTTGTTAGAAGAAGATACCCGATTGCAAACGGTAACCCGCTCCGTTACAGTGCACCCTGAACCAGCTCCGCCGTCGTAAACGTATCGCTCCCGCGCGAGCGGCGGGGGTCGCGAACCTCTCACCTCATGGACTCTTTGATGGCCGCGCGGAGGTACTTCATGTCCTGCAGCCGCTCTGCGGTGACAGGCGTATCTCGTTGGGGCAGCACCCGGCGTAGCTCGGCGTGCAGCTCCTCTTGCTTGTCGGGGTTGCGCGACAGCAGGTAGAGCAGCGCGCCCGTGGCGTAGGACGTCTGCGGCAAAGCGGGGGGCGGGGGGGGCGTGGCTTGCATGTCAACGCTCTTCGCTCCGCGCGCTCGCTGCGGCCGTCGAGTTTCGGTTGACAGACACAACCGCACGAGGTATCGAACCCTACATCCCTTGCCCTTGATTTTGACTACATGAAATGAAATTTGGTGCATGTTATCTGAATTTTTAAAAAAACGTAGTAAGTTAGTTCTGCCCGTCAAATGTAAAGCCAGTCAAATGTAAAGTCATAAGTAAGAGAACCACCTCTGTATTTTTACAGGGAAATGTAGTAAACTATTTTACTAATTAAAATGTGTCACGTAAAGAGAATAACTGGTGTTCTCGAACTAATTTTTATTAGATATCTCAAAATAATTCTTCTATTATATTATTATTCCTATTATAGTTTCAATTATTAGTTTTTTACTCTTCTATAGCTTCCCCGCCTTAGCCCAGCCTCAGCTGAGTAACATTATACAGCAATATGTTGAATTCTTATTATATAAACAATGAAAATTGCAATGGCAATTTAAAAAATGCCTAATGTTATTTAATTTTCGTTTAATTTACTTAATTTTGTTTGCAAAAACATCTTTTCTGAAAGTTTTAAAAGACTGAGATGATATACGGTTATGTTTTAATGCCAAGATGGATCTTGTGACAAAATCCATTTTTAGAAAAATTCGTTTGCTGCATATAAAATTACTTAATACAATATTAGTGTGTGGTATTAAGATCTATGAGAATTAATGTAGTTGTTAAAGCTATTTTCTTGAGTAATTAGTTTTACATCTTAAAAACTAATATAATTGTTTTCTTCATGTAAATGTTACACAATACTAGTTTTTTCCAATCACTATTTACTCGCTATTTTAGGACAACAACTACAAATGTTAAGTATGTACCCAATTTTCGGCAGTTTCGTTTCAGAGACCACCTAGTTTCCAACTTAGAGTAATGATGAGTTTTTGAACCATTTACTAATGTAATGAATTCATCGTCTTCCGGACAAGCAGAAATAAAAACCTTCACTACATGTGTATTTGTCGGTAGACTAGCTTTAAAATTCAACGCGCATTATTAGGGCGAGATTTGATCGTAATGTTGTTTGAAAATACTTGTTTTTCATTTTTTGTTTATATGCAACATATTCAAGATTATTATTGCCCAGATGTTATTGTGATTTATATTTTAACTTCTCAATTGATTTATAAATGTATTACTAAAATCTAGCTTGCATTTACTAGCTATTTAAAGATTTAATGTACAATATATAATATACACATACAATTTTTAATCGTTCTAGTTTTTGTTTGTTTTCGACTTACGGTGTCAATACCGGCAAAAAGCATGTCCAAAGCCATCGTCATGGCAATTCGTGGGTTATCATTTGCGAGCAGAAGGCGCTCCAAAACACTTAAGTCATCGCCAATGTCGCCACCTTCAGCCATTTTACTCTTTAGGCGGTTCACTCTATTTTGAATATACTTCTCGGATACACTGCAACAAAGTAGAATTATAAAGTTCAGCTGAAAGAGAAGACATTAAAACTCCTGTACAAATTATGTTTAAAGAACTGAAATTTAATATCTGTTATTCAGTAACAGCGTTCTCAAAATCAAAATAATTTTATAATATCCGACATTGCAGATAAATCAGTTACATTACGCAAGGAATGGTATTTAAAACTGACTAAATTCAATCCCTTCGCCTTAAAATTGATAAAGTCCGACCCTTTAGTTTCAAATTAAGACAGTTTCCATTTTGTAGTTTCAGAAAATGGCCTACTCATTAGTTTCGAAGTTACAAAGTCCATCACCTCAGCGCTAGAACTAGGCAGTAATATATTAATTTTACTATTAAAAAATAAAATTTCCGGATGACATTCTCGCATGTTGCAAAAGTAAATTGAATCGGTTTTGAAACTCTGCTCATCAGCTGCCTCTTATGATACGAGCAGTATACAATTTCATACTTACGTTTCAAACGTGCTAATGGCATTGACGTACTTTCGCCACATGGGCGTGCTGATGTACTTCCAGATGGAAGGCTTGATGTCTAGCTCGAACATGCCCTCGAACAGCACCTGCACGGCGTCAATCATCTTCTGCGGCTCCCCCGCCACCTGCGAGTCCAGGCAGCCGAGTCGGGTGTCGAGTGCGATGATTGCGATCGCTATATGTGCGTCAGAAACAGATCTTTAATGCCAATTTAATTATAAACAATATACAACTTTTTTGAATACCAGCGTTATAAACAACTTTTTCTGAAGCAGGAAATCATTCATAATGGGGTATCTTACAGCACAAATGCTGACGTATAAACATTTTACAGGTCGAAGAATTGCGTCATCACACATTCAGCCAATCGCGGAGGGACAATCGTCTCGAGTTAGAGGTAAACGGAACAAACGACTACGTTCTCTCGCACAGATGTCAACTACCCGAGACGTCACAAGACAGTTGTTTCGCAAAATTGAGTTTGAATCCCTTATAACTTTCTACACATAATACCGAATGTAACTCGTTTATAATGTTGCTTTATTATTTTCTTACAAATTGAAAACCTCGCTCCTAACTTCGCTCGTTTTCAATACATGTACTAATGGAATAAAGCTTAACATTGTAAACTAATTTCATAAGCTACTATTAAAATATTTAAGAGCAACCTTAATTGCACTAAAATAAGAAATACTATTTTAAGTTCATTGGTACTTCAAGCAGTATTTTTAATGCAGTAAAATTACCATTCAAAGCCCAATTATCAGAAAAGGAAGTTAACTAGAAATACTTGGGAAGAAAAAATTAAAAACAAAACTAACAAAATTGGGAAAATATGTGGTACTTGGCGTTAGTGAATATGAAAATTCTTAGTTGGTTCTTGATAGTTTTCTTCTAAATTAAGAGTCAGTTTTAATACAAATGAACGTACGTAATAAACTTTTATAATTTACTTTGTGCTTTCTTTTTGTGTAAATATTATAGTGCTTATTTTTCCGTTCTTTTGTTTTTAAACGTAAGTTGTTAGCATTAATTGTTAATTAATTATTAAAATTAAATTAAAGAATGATTAATATTTTTGTTTTTAAATTAAACCAACTATAAATATTGAAAACGTTCATAATTAATTTCCAATTCAGGCTAATATCTTCCGTTGACTTTTACTATTAATTTCTGAAATTTATCCAATCATTCGTATTTTCGCAATTCCGGATCGACTCTTTATGTATTTAATTCTAATAATTGGAGTGTTGGTGTATTGTGTTTTTTAATATTCTTAAACTAAAATAGAAACATAATAATCATATATACAGTGATATTTTGCACAAAATATAAGTAGGAATTGATCCCTCATCTCAGACTTACAAGATATGTTGTGTATGAATAATACGGCCGTTGAAGTCGCTTACCTCTGCGACCTTCACTTAATTAATCCGATCAGAATTAATCATAGAAAAAAATAAACAAATATATGACGTAGAAAAACGGCGACGAAACATCTTATTTCCGGTTTCGTGTCAAACATGAATATAGAAATATCGCCTTCCTGTAGCGTTATTTTCGAATATATTAAATAAATCTTCTTTTAAAGAAAGGCATCAGTTCCGTTCTTATTTTACATTTTTTTAAAATGAGGCGGTTATACAATTTGTCGTCCATATATTTTAAATGTTTTTTCTCAGTAACAGTTTTTGCACATGTACGTTACCCCAATCGAAATGATTTTACTTTCTATAATGCGTTATCATCTCCAAGTTATATCACAGAAATTTTATGATATTCTATTAACGCTTCTGTGCTAGTATTATAGTTAAAACAGAAAATTTAACGTACAAAATAAACACTATGGCATACGTAGAAATGATCTTAAATAATTTTTTTCACAATTGATACGGTTTATCTTGTGGTTCTGTCAGTATCAACGATTTTTAGAACTTTATTTAATATAAACGTAGTATATCATCAAAATTTGCTCAAAAATGTTCCATATTTCGTTTGTCGTTGTTTTGCTAACGATGGCGCGCTTATGAATAACCCAATTTTTCGCTTTCCAAATAATCTGAATTTTTAAATGGCAAAATATTGTCTTTTCAAATCTCTCCTTCACTATAAATATTGAAACTGGTTATAATTACATAATTCAGTGTCTTAATGTTTGCGCATTAAATTGTTTCATGCAAAACATTTCTGTCAAAAATTAACAGTTTTTCCTTGATTTTGAATCAACTCTTGTCAATTTTATGAACACAAATATCTCAAAATAAGAAAACAAAAATTTAATCAGATATTAAACAATATTTGTTGAAAGCATCTCTCCTTTACACTTTTTGTGTGAATAGAAAACCTTGAAACATGTGGCTGAAATGCTTCTTTCATTGCAATCTTTGAATTTTCAAACATTAACCATCTAAGCATAGCAAATCTTCTCTGTGGTACAAAGAGACATTACAAGGAGGACGCAGGATATTTCTATTTTCACCAATGCCGGTGTAAAGTTAAACGTAAAATACTTTTTTCAATAATATAAAACCTACGAATATAAAAAAGTGTTTAATAGTAATACGTAATAATTTGCTTTATTCTGTAGACTTCCCATTCTGTAATGACATAATTTTAACAAAAATTTTCGAAAATTCAATGAAATCGCACTCCTATCATATTTACTAACAAACTTCCTTTAGAGATTTATAAGATTGTGCTTTTGACATTTATAAGCATAAGATTCTTTTGAGAAACAAATAAAAGAAAAATATTTAGTATGTTTTTAAAAATGTTATAAGGCTTTCGGAGCTCGATTTAAAGCACCTCCCCAAAATTTAAAACATTAATTTCAAAATCACAGAGCCTCACATTCGTCCAGATCAATTCGGGGTCACAATCAAGTCCATTTTGTGAAAAAAATCCTGTTTACAACGTTTACGCGTTAGGTTTTTCAAACACAGATGGACAGAGGACTGACAGAAAATTAGACGTTAGAAGCATATTTCTGTCAAAATCTGGAGGTCTAATTTTTGGTAGCATTACATAACTTCCTCTTTACTACGTATACAAATATAGGTCGGCATGACAATACGTTGGTTATTAAAAAAACAGTTTTAGAACTCACATTCCAATGCCCATCTGAAGAACCAGTTGTCAGCATCCTTTGGTAAGAGACCATTTTCATCTCGAATCTCCCGCAAACTGAAATATGTGTCGCAAAATACAGTGCCATGTACGAAATTATATACTTAAAAAATGAAAACAATGAAACTGAACACATATGATATGTGAAGGAAGCCTCATAATATCCTTTTTAAATTATATTTTCTTCTTTTGTTTTTAATTTTACATTGTTTTATTTTCAAATTACTAATGTGTGATTTATTGCAAAGGCTTTGCCCGCATAATTTAAAAACGATGACGTATCAGTGAATCCTGTCAGCAGAATGATCAAATAGTAGAGACATAATTTATAAAGGAATTCTAGAAAATGTTAATACCAACGGGACTGCGGCTTGGGTACCAGTCTAAATACAAGATATGCTAAAAGAAACCAAAATGCAGTATTGATGATGTTGTTGTGAGATTGTATGATTCAGGAGAAATGTTAGAAAATACATAATGTAGTCGGTGATATCTGCTGGAAAATCTATTCAGCAAAATTAGTTATGAGTAATAATTGAAATTCCTGTCGCAGGATTCGAAGCGGGAATTCAGGCATTCGTGAATACAGCAATTCAATAGTTCTCCTCGTCCATACTGTGCATGAGATCACAAATTTGTAAGCGCCTTTCCATTACTCTGAAATCAAGATGGAAGGGTGATACCGAGAAGTGAATAATAAGAGAGTAATGCTTATTGATGGGGTGATGGTTCAGAGAAAACGCAGCAATGGGAGAAGCCAACCGTGCCTCGACCACATAGCAACAACAGCCGTGGCGGAAGGGCGTAGGGGCAGGTGTGCGTTGACGCTGCTCTGAGTCTCTTCGCTACCAAAGCTCGATATCATTGCTCGGTCCATCCCGTCCGATTCGGTAAAGCGTACTGATGATTCTCCCCTGCCATCCTTCGTCTGGGACAGGCGTTACCCTACTGTGCACTTCTATATTCTTCCTCGTATTACTGTGCTCTTATAAAACCGACTTAATGAAATCAAACAGCCGAATGAAAGACACCGCTCGCTTCTGATAAGTATGTAAGTCACTCTTCCGTTACGAACAATGAAAACAAATTAATTGTAGGTAAAGATGACGACTAAAGACACTTATTCCAAGAAATGTGATTTCGTTTTTATATTTCTTTTTCAGAAGATATTATGTAAACTATTGCACAAAAAACGAGTCATGCGGTCATTAACATACTCAGTTTACTTCACTAATTCACAACTTCAATAATTTGTTTATTTGGTGTTTGTTGGCTCAATTATGTTAATAACTTTAATGGTTGTGTGGTTGCTTTTTGTGTTTTTACTCAGAAACGTAAAACGTTATTTCGATTTTTACTTATAGTTCAAGTCTCAACAATAAAGTTTTTAAGTGCTAGTCAAAGATTCTAAACAAACAAGTGGCAGCTACTAACACAAGCACAATGGCTTTATTTGCTTGCGAATTTCTTCATTGTATGCGACAGACATGGCAGAATCGGGATGGGAGGTATTAAGGTATTCCGCTTTCTGTAAAACTTCAGAATTGTTCGTCTAAAGACAGGTTGTAATTGTGAAAAGAGCGGGAGAGTAGTAGTGTACTCCTGCTCTCTCACTCTTTTCTACCTACGTTTCGAATCCCAAAGGCAGCGTGATTTTCGACACTACCTGGATAGCTAGGTCGAATTATGCCCCGTTCTGGAGAAAAACTCTAGCGGCCGACTGCTCTCATCGATAGTTTCCTGCACTTTCTCGATTCAACGCCAGGCGAATGCCGGAGCAGTACCCTAACAAACGAGCCACGTAGCGTGCGCGATCTTTCCTTCTACTTCTTTGTCCTATTCTCCCCCTTACACACACTGACCTTACAAGAACTACACTTCTTCACATGACCGGTTGGGAGCTTACAGATTTTTCCGGCTAGGGGGTGCCCCGCTGGTGGGAGATACCTGGTTGGGAAAATTCCCGCACACTGACGTGTAAGTATCTCGTCATACAGCGAGGGAAAATCACCGCCACGATAAAAAATGCACTAAACTTACGGGACCAATACCCTTATCCGACGACGCGCCATGGACACATAAATCAATCAATGAAACAATATAACTAGGTGGCGTGTGACGATGAGAGCGTCCGAGGAGACTCACCGCTCTATGAACTCCGAAGCCACTGTGTCGATGGGGGCGGTGTACTTCGCGACGGCGCGAGGCTGCAGCATGGGCCCTTGCACGCCGCGCCTGAACTCCTGCCACTCCTTCTCGTTTCTGCAACACGAGCGGCGAGTCAGGCAACAGGGAAATAGAACAGAATGCATTTGTTCTAGAAAAAAATGTCAAATTTCTAGGTCGTGTAAGGTGTCGAAGATAATCACTTTTTGCCAATTAACACGTGCTAGAAAATCTCTTGTGACAAATTTCTTAGGTCTTGATGCCCTATTGCCCATGGTAGGTAGGAAAATAATTTTGAACTGATGTTTTTGTGTAAATCTGTTTGAATCAGAATATTGAAAAAACTCTTTTTCGGTCTGAAGAGACACATATTTACGTCAAAATCTCGAAAGAGGTATTTTACATTATCTCAACGTTTTTTTCAATAATAAGTTTGGTAGAAAATAAGAAAAAACAAAAAACAATCATCTATGTCGAGGATGAAGAGTTTAATTAATGTCTATATTTTACTTTTTTTCTATTTATTGCATTATTTTATTATTTTGAATGAAAATTTTGACTATTGTGGGATGATGCATGTTTTTAAATTGGCCTTATAATAGAACAAATAAAACTTTGCTCTAAAGAAATAATTTCTACAAGTAAGACGGTTGCGCATTAATATTTTTGCGTTGCACTTACGTTGTCAAAAGGCCATGTGATCCTTCGTATCTTTCTTTGTTTATGAAGCGGCGATAATAGTTGAGAGATCCGAAGGCCTCTCTTTTGGGCCATGCCCCTTCGTTTCTGTATACCTGCAGTAGCGAAAGGGCGTGATTACTAGCACAATAAAACAGAAATGTGGAGTTAGTTACTTCTAATAACAGTTACTAATCTTTCGAAATACACTGGTACCTTCTCGATATCGACAGGGTCGTAGAGAGCAACCATATCTCTGTTCTTAGGCATTCCAGACAATCTGACAATATCTCCATATGTTGACCGGAGGGTGTGATGAACTTCCAGCATGTCTTGACCACCCCAGGGACCTGAAACATTTAAAATATTTCTCACCAGAATGTTGGAGGGAAGATATTTTCTACCATAAATTTGAGTTACAAATATTAAAAGCGGGCGGGAAGGAGGATGAGGTACAGTGATTCATGACTTCGTGTTTCTATGCGCAACAACTTCCACGATTAGTCCCGTAAGTGTTTTAAAGTTTTGTTTTATATCTTGGGATGTGGCGGTGTTTCTCCGTAGCTAAAACGTGAGATGCGACCGCGACTTGCGAATGTTCCTCCTTCCGGTACCTCCTCCTGCGAGGACTAGCTCCAAGTTCCCGACTGGGCGCATGACGTGTGTGGTAGAGTAAGAGCTTTTTAGTTTGTGAAAGGATAAGGGGAGGCCAGGCTGAACATAGAAAGATCGCGAGCTGTCCGTGGCCCCTTTTGTTAGAGTACTACTATAACATTTGTCTGGTAGTGATCGAAGAACCTCCAAAAATTATCGATCAGAGAAGTCAGCGCCCAAAAGTCTCCTCCAGGCAGTGGCTGAATTGGACGTCTGTAACTTGTGCGGAAAATTATCCAGCATCAGGACACGAACCTTAGGACTTCTTCGCTGGAGACTACAGAAACAAGTTGTTGCACTGAACTACCTCAACAGGTGTGGGTTAAAGATGGGAAGGGAGAGAGAGGGAGAGGAAAGTGATAATGAGGAGAGTGAGAGGGAAGAGATAGATAGGGAGGAGA